CCCCCACAAAATGTGTGGCTATTATGCGAACCCCAAAATGCCAGTGGCACCGGAGTGGCACCGTACTCCGGTGTCACTAGAACCTCACCGCATATTCAATCCTCCAAAACTCACCAAACGGACCCTAAGAGTGTGTTTGGTTATAGGAAACTGGTACATCATTTGATTTGTTGGAAGGGGAGGGGAGGGGAAATTTTAAATTGAGTGTTCTGTTAGAGAAGGTGGCTCCCTCACCATAAATGTAATAAAAAGAAAAAGGACAAGGGTGGTGGCCATTACATGCTGTGAACAAAGTATGATGTAACGCTGCAAACCGATGCTGTCGAATAAAGGTGTTCGAGAAGCATGTTGCCCGCTGATGAAATCATAGCTGATGTCCCTCAAGTTCACAGGTTCAACAGCACCATCATGTTCTGGTCCAGCTGAAATTATCCAAATGGTACAGATGACATAAATTCAGATTTTGAAGTTCAGGAAGTTCAAAAGTAGGCTGCTTCTATTGATATAATTAATGGGCATTCACTCTTAGCCCCTCCTTTCTTTAAAAAAAACATGTGATATGGAATATCGGTCAGATTTTGCAAATATAGAGCTTGTTCTCTTCGTCTGTTCTCATCGGGTCTGATCTAATTTTATAAAGGTCTGATCTGATTGTAGTTATATTTAAACCTATTTCTGATCCGATTTGGTCTAATATGATTCAATAAGAATAAATTGAAAAGAACAAGCTCCTAGTTCCTCAATTTTTATTTTATGCACCTCATCCTGAAAATTATATTATTTCAAACCAGCTTTTGTCTTTAAAAAAAAGAGCCACATTTCAACAAAAGCTAAATCTCATTGATTTTTATGTTCTTCCTTCCAAAAAAATGTGATACATCTTAGGTATGCAAGTACGATGGATGATATACCATAGTACTATTAGTATCTTTTGTACTTTTAGATGAAAAGAAGTTTTTTGGCATGAAGGTTATAATCGAGATACAATTAGTCCCCTGATTAAAACTTCTGGCTAATATCAACGTTTATGGGGGCATTCTAGGCATTGATAAATCCCAAGATAAAAAGATTGTGGTCAACGTGTTGATACCTCTTCCCTCCCCTAGATGAATAACTTCATCACTGTGAGACATAGTTCCGTCAAGATGGTCCTCCCCATCAGATGAACTACACACAACAGATTCATCACGGTCACTCCCAAAACTAGATTCACAATCCGCAGCATCCAAACACAACCTTTGTAATATTGCAGCAACTCCACCCTGTGAAGTTGCCATACAAAGGTAAATGATCTCAGATTCTGGATATAAACCTTCTTCTTTCTGAAGTACAGTGCTAATACCTGCCAAAATGAATAGCAACCATCTACCAATTTATTGGTTCTACCTTGGAATCCACCTTCAACTCCTTGCCTAAATACCATCCAATCCTACCACAAGCATAAAGCCATAAACAAATCAGCAACTTCTTTCATAATGGAGCATTACTAGAGCCATATGAAATTACAAATTAAAGAAATTCCACCTGTGAGGGCTATTGAAAAAGAGAGAAAACTTACGATTAAGCTTGGCAAATCCAAACGATTAACTTCATTCATCAGAGCCATTGCAGCTAAACCACAGAATGTGTACCTGGGCAGAAACCCTATCAGATGGTAATACTAAGATTTTCCGAAGGCTTTGGCTATAATTTGATATATTCCACTACTCCCTCTGTCCCCAAAACAAATACACAATCACTCTTCACATGGTCAACTATATATTCTTCCCTTACATACTTTCATTGTTCATTTGACAAAATAATAGTCATGTCACCTCGTTTTGTACGGAGTAGAAATTATGATGCAGTAGTCACATATATAAATTTTATTTTTTATTTCTACACTAATTTTAAAATTAATTAAATTCCAAGTAATTTCAGACCATTGTAAATCTTAAAGTGACTTTATTTTGGAGACGGAGAAAGTATATATTTGAGGTTTTAAACAAATTGCAATATTAACAAATTAACATTATATGTAATCATATAACATTTCAACCTTATTTTATTCATTTTTATTTTAGCACTATGTTTTTCAAGATATAAACCAAGGCCACCTGCCATCACAGGGATCTAATTGATTATATATGCAGCTAAAAAGATTCACTGCAAAGTTTGTAAGAAAAAGAATAGACAAAACTGTATAGCAGAGGTTTGACAATAGACGGCAAAGGCTCATCACAAAAGCCCAGAGAATATGCAATTCGCAGTGTGCATAAATAAAAACACTCAAACTAATAGTAACACTCAAACTAGCTTTTCCCACCAAAGAAATTTCCAGAACAAAGATGGTATGTGACTTACCCACCATGAGCTTCTGAACCTGGTTCTCCAGCAATCCCACCTTCATAGGATTGACAACTGCAAATAATGATAGTGACAGTTTGAGATCATAAAAGATTAAAGTGTCTATTACTATAGTTCCTCAAAATTATCAGTCGTGCTTCGGACCATTACTGAAAAACTTAGCTCCTAAGTGGCTATTTTTCCAGAAATATATTCAGCACGTCACTTCAAAATACAGGACATCAACCTTAAGCACTCACACTCAATAATAAATATCAACAAACAAGACTAAAGGACGCACATTGTGTATAATATATGCTGAATAGATGTATAAATGGGTCTTTGTAAGGGAAACGATATACATTCCCTAGGAAAAGTGACATGTTAAAAAAACAAACCTTACAATGAAATTTCCGGCATTATGAGTTAGTTTTGCATCAAGAATGTTCAGGATGCTTGCAACCTGTCCAAAAATTTCATGTCTTCTGTTAAAATGACTTGCGAAAAGGAGAAGTTTGTGAAAGAGCTTCTTCAGTTGTCAAAATTATTATCATCATCATCATCATCATCATCATCATCATTATTATTATTCCAATTATACTTATCTTATATTCCATATTGTGCTTGTATTATTTCTATTGGGTGATCGGGATATGGAAGGAAATAATTAATACATACTACCTCGTCCCTGAGTATTTGTCCAGTTTTGACTTTTTTCGGTCAACTATTTTTAACCTTTGACCTATAATTAAATAAAATATATATTGTATTTTAATTAAATAAAATAATATTTTGAAAATATTTGATACAATAAATCTAATAAAACTCTTTTTGTATCAATATCTAATATCATTTTTATTTAATTTGAGGTCAAAGTTTACCAATTTTGACCAAAAAGTCAAAAGTGGACAAATACTCAGGGACGGAGGGAGTAGTACATAGTAGCTCAAACTCACCGAAATGGCAGTATAGCATGCACGGACATCAACTTCGCCACCGTCATGCATCCTGCAAGAAAAAATTTAAAAAATCAAAGGATAATGCACAATTTACTGATTAACAAAAACACTGCAAAGGGAATATGATTAATTTTGTGACCGCAAACATTCTGATCAGTTAAGGCTAAGTTGAACGGAGACGGGGACAAGTACTCATATGGGTACATGGTCGTGAATGGGGAAACACCAAATTCTCCAAATCTTACAAAGAATTTGAGTGTCGGGACATCCCAAGTACCCAAACAGGGATGTTACGGGGACGAAAAATTACACTTGTTTGAAGAACCCATGCAAGATAGAGTAAAATTAAAGCGCAATAAGCCAAGAGATACCTACCTGAAACCACCATTTTCCTCTTTCATTCGAAACAAAAATGAGTGTAGTTTTTCTCTGAAATATACTAACAAACTTGTTAGGATCACACCTTATAACACATGACATGAAGAAGATGATTGAGTGTTGGGATAGGTAACCTCTTGATTGATGAGAAAGACTTTTGACCTCCCAAAGTAATAAGTGTATTAACTGCAGCATAGGTTGTCGCAAGATGTGGCATCTGACCAAGGAAAAAAATCTCATTCAAAATCACATAAGAAAAAAAATTACAAAAGCGATTAATTCTTGAGATAAACTTGCCTGACCAGGTCCACCTCCATATCCTCCATTTGGATCCTGTGGTTATGAAAAAGTCAAAAAGGCAACAATAAAAGTATGGTGGATATTCATATCACATTATTATCATTTTGTCCGTATAAAATGGATTTGGTGTGACCAAAATGAAGATGCTTCGATGGATGAGCAGGCATACACGTATGGATAGAATAAAGGAATGAAGATATGAGAGAGAAAGTTTGAGTAGCAACAGTTATTATAAAGATGGTGGAAACCCATCTTAGGCGGTTTGAACATGTTGAGAGGAGACTAGAACTCTAGTAGAGCATCCATTAAGAAGAGTGGATCGAATAGAAAATAGACATGTAGTTTGAGCCTGGAGGAAGAGGTAGACCTAAGAAAAGTAGAAAACTTGGCTCGAAGTGGTCAAGGTGATCTACACGTGAACAATCTCAATGCGAATATGATACATTATTACATGATAGGGTGCACTGGCGTTGTTTGATCCATGTAGCTCACCCCACCTAGTGGGATAAAGAAGGCGTTGTTGTTGGAAACAGATATAGAACCTTTCAGATGATTATTACAAAATAAATAGACTCTATTTGTACCACACTACCACATTTAAGTTCCTATTTGATCTTACACTCACTCAGAATTTATTTAACAGTGCAGCAACCAAACAATGGGGTCTTGACTTTGACAGCAAAGCTGCAGCTCTTCTGCGGTGGCTTACCATAGATGATGGTGAGATCTCTAAACAGCGAAAAAACCCAAAACATCTATAAAAAAAGATTGAACAAATTTGGGAACGTGCTTTTTGAAGAAATTAGCTAGAATTTTTTGCAGTGACCAAAAAATATTGAGGGGTGAGGAATTTGCTCGATTTATGCTGAAGTTGTTTTGAAAATTGAAATAGGGGGCAGGGAGTGAGGAGCGCCGAAGACCACTCATGGCTTAAAGCAAAATATCTTTAGGAACTAGGAACTTAATTTCAGGATACCCTTGAACAGAAAATGGGAGTATAAGCAGTGACGCTTCTGATTGAGCCCTGTGGCCTTGATGCATTGTTGCATTTACTCACCAAAACGTCATATAAAGTAAGAAGCAGGGGAAATGCAAATCATTATTATCATTCAGTAGATTATTTACCTAATTACCTGGAGCTAAAACATTGACAAAATTGAATCTTTTAGCTCCATTAGCAACGGAGGCAGAGACTAAAGGAGGCCCATTTGCATAAATCCATCCAGCAGTATCCAGTTTTTACTTGTAGGAAGCAGACCGGAAAGGTGTTGTGATTTGTGAACTTGTGAGTGGGATTAAATTCAGACTCCATTCCATTGGGGCCATGATTTAAAAGAAATATATCTCATAACCTTAACCCTCACTACATAAACAAAAGTAGCTTACCATTATATTATACATAATCCTCATCCTTCCCAAGGTTCATTACAATCAAATGCATTGCAATTTCAACATACCCAGAAGCCTCAGTTGGTGAATATCACAATGGTAAGAAGATGGAATTTATCCTACATAATGCAATTATTTATTGCTGCTAAAAATTGAGACGCCATTCCTTCTTAGGAAAGTTGTGAAAAGGAAAGACTAAGAAGATTGTCAAACCTGGCAGCGACTGAGGAAGTCAATGACATCGTCTTTCAATTCATCCTCAATAGACTCGCCCAACACAGAGATTGAGTGGATCATCCAATAACAAAGCCAGGGCCGGCTGTAAATCAGCATTACTTGGTCATATCTTTCAAGTAAGAGTTTTTCAATAAAAACAAATTAACAATAAAAAGTGTAGGAATCAACCATACTTGGCATCAAGAACGGAAAATGATGGGCCAAGGCCACGCAGTCCACTGGAAAGATACTGTAAATGCATATCTCGTTGAATCTCCAACCTGACCGGTGAAATTGGACATAAGAACGAACAGGCAGATTATGAGAAACATCCATAATCATATATATGCCTTTTTCTTGAAATCTGAAGTAGTATGAAAACCCTAGAAAGGGGTCGATTGAAAAAAGAACTGACATGACAGACTGGGAATTGGGCGGGATGCTGTAGAAGAAGTTGTAAATCTGAAAGACTTGACCCTCTACTACCCGCTGCTCTTTCTGAGTCTTCGTCCATGTGGACGACTCCATCGTAGATGTTCCGGCCGCCGGAAAAAATGGAACTCGCCTGAACCTGGTTAGCTGAGTGAGGGCGATGGCAGTTAGGCTGAGCCTGTATGCTTGTGAAATTTGGAAAGTGAAATATCTTTGAAGAGATGTAGGATATGATTGCTTTAACGGCTGCGGCTGGGTGGCTCACAATGGTGGGGCCGGGCGGAGGCGGGCGGCGGGAGTGACTCGTTATATTGGGTTGCCGGCGGCGATGGCTAAAATAAATTAAGAATGCGAGGTTAGAAATTTTGTAAAAGAGATGTATAATTTTTTATGGGTCTCTTGTCTAAAACGCTATTACTAATTTATGACTGCTATTTCCAATCAGCTCTATACCAATAAAGTGGTTGTAAGAAATTATAAGAAATTTTATGTTGAGAAGGAAATACTCCTTTCCTCCGGAAATAATCTTTCCCGTTTCTTCTTTTTCTTCGTACGAAATAATCTTTCCATTTCAATCTTTTATACACAAACTACCCAAAATAGCCTCACTCATCTATCACTCTTCACTCATATTGTCCTCTCTCTCTCCTCCCTCATTTCTTTGCCTCTCTCTGTTCTTCTATTTCTCCCATTTCTCTTCTCCTTCTTCCCCCATTCTTTCCGTCTCTCTTTTCGCTCCTCATCGTCTGTCTCCTTCTTCTCTCCTTCCTGTTCTTTCTTCAGTTCCGCTCGTCCTCCGGCCTTCGCCTCCTTTTTCCTTCTTTCTCCCGTTTGTTTGTCTTCCAGATTTGGACGGATCTATTCGTGATATGGCGATGACGGCGGCGGCAGCGATTGGGTAGGACTAGCGATGGCGGCGACTAATGCAATGGTATGGCTTGTGGAGATGATGCTTGGGGTGGGCAAAGAAGGTGGATTGTACTCAATTTTTGTAGATCTAATATATTGGGGGGAATCACCTGTGCTGGGGACTAAGGCAGTGGGGCTAGAGCACGGTGGTGCTTGGGGCCGGAGATGGTGGAGGGGCCTGGCGATGGTGGGGGCAGAGGAGGGCTGGCGGCGGCGAGACAGGAGGGAGATTGTGGAAGCGAATGGCGGAGGGCTGGTGAGGGCAGGGCCGCAGGGATAATAGTGGCAAAAGGAAGGGACATTTAGGACATTTTCATACTCTCAATAAAAATGGAAAAAAGTCAAAATGGGTAGATTAATACGAAGTAGTAGTCTTAATTTAAATATCTATTTTAGCTTACAATGTTTTACTGAATTGATTTCCAAATTATTTTCAATAAAAAATAGTCTAGAAGTAAAAAATAAAAATTATTTATTTTAAAAAAATTATCCAAAATAATCTTAACTTTACCTCATCTTTCAAAAATAATCTCACATTCACTGTGATGCATAATAATTTCAACTTTAATGAAATTTGCAAGTTTTGGTTGCTGTTAAGTTGTTAACGCCAGGTTAACGGAAAGGCCTGTTTATTTTTTTTATTTTTGAAATTTTTATTTGAATTTTTTAATGACTTTCTACTTCAATTTCTTTTTCTTTTTTTAAATATTAGTATTATCTTATAAAAATAAAAAATAATTATAAAAATATCAAAAATGAGAAAAATAACTAAAAATCCTACAAAGTTAATGAAATAAATAAGGTAAACCATAAAAATTAAATTGAAATTGAAAAGAAACAAAATAAAAATATAAGGAGTGGAGTGGTCTAACATTTTACGCACTATGCAGAATATTAATAGACTACTTATTTTTTGAAAGAATAAGTAAAACTAGGATTATTTTAGATAATTTTTCCTAAAAATAAGAAGAAATGGTACATTGATGCTTTGTATAGTGTACAAAATGTTAAAACTCACCCCTCCATATATTTTTTTATTATTTCTTGCTAGTTTTATGTTAATTTATATCTATTACTTTTTTTATTATTTTGTATGATATGATTTTAGTTATTTTTCTTATTTTCGTTATGTTATATATCTATTTTTTATTTTATCTAAAGTTAGACTAATCTTTAAAAAAACAGAAATGATGGAGGTTGAAATTAATTTTAAAAACTAAATTTAAAAATTCCATAAATATGAAAATCATCGAAAATAATCTCAACTTTCATTTTGTAGAGCAAAACAAGCCGTTTCGTTAACTTCTCGTTAGTAACTTAATGGCGACCCAAAACTCACAAATTTCAGTAAAGTTGGGATTATTATGCATCACAGTGAAAGATGGAATTATTTTTGAAAGACCAGGTAAAGTTGGAAAATTTTGGATAAGTTTTCCTTAATTTAAAAACTAGTCTATCAAAATATCAACAAAACTAGTGAAGATATCACTATATTACTTTATCAAATAACTAAAAAAATAGAAAAAGTAAGTGAATAAAGGTTCATCATGTGAATAGTAAATAAACAATTCAATTTGAGACGTAGGATATGTTTAAAAGTCATTAAAAAAATATGTAATGAAATTGGAAAAGATATCTTGAATCTCATATACTCCCTCCGTCCTATAATGATCTTCCCAGAGCACTATTCCAACTTCACGGGAATTTATATTTATTTGTGTTTTTTCATGGCCTATATAATAAAATAAAATATTCTTGTCACCACTTGTTTTGTTGAACTTTTGATGTAGTTTTTAAATATGTATGTTTTATTTTTTATTTCTATACCAATATTTAAATAAAATAGATTGAAAAAACTTGGGATTTTTCTTCGTTTTGCGAACCGGGAAGATCATTATAGGACGGAGGGAGTAAACATTGATGACTCCGGGTGGTCAGTGATGGTTGGAAGCAGGTGGCAAGCGATTGAAAGCGACAAACGATTGAAGAAAATTGATAAATACTTCCTTTGTCTTAGAAAAGACTTCTTTTCCACTTTTAGAAAACTTTCTGTGGCTCAATATTTCTCTCTTCTTTGTATCACTTTCAACCATACAATTTTACTTTCATTAAACTTTTTGTCAAACCAAATAAAGAATCTTATTTTAGGATGGAGGAAGAATGTTGAATCCCCTTGTACTCTATATGTTTTTATTTATACTATCATAATACCTTGTGGGGATGGTGTGCCGTGTGGGTAGGTATTTTCTTCCCCTTGATATTTAACTAGGGGGTTTGGTTCAATCTTCGGTATGGGTTTGGAAACACCAATCAAACTAGTGTGGTTTCATTTCACAAACCCATACTTAATTCCTCCTCAGTACCAATTTTTTAATGTTTACTTTGACTTTCACGGATTTTTAAAAAAGAAAAATGCTCATTTTTGGTATGTACTCGGAGCGTACTGTCATTGGACTTGCACGAAAGTAGGTATATTCAGATGTATGGTATAATTTTTCATGGCGAGTATTGAGGTCCAAAGTTTGTTACTCAAGAACCAATAAGTGACCTCTTTGATAGTTCAAAAGTCATAACACATCAAGGTTCATGTTGACAACCTTATAAAGCTACTTAACACTCATATCACTTGTCTCAAGAAGCAGAATTACCATTCAAATTCCCAGACAAAGAGGATTCATCTCAACAAAGACTTCATCCATATAACTCAACACATCATGGAGTACGACATCCTGTCCAAATTCTCTTTTAAAAAAATTGAAACTTTTCGACAACCGCGTTTCTACAGTATTGAATAAGCTACAAAATTGGAGATTAACTTCTAAGAAAAATCATTATAAGATTACCATTCGGGGCTTGCCTTTGAAGAATGAATTATGAGATCTAATCTCCATTTTCATGTCATGATATCAACACGGACTTCATAGTGAGCAGGGACTTTGCCAGGTAGATAAATCGGAGATAAGATCTCGTAATTGATCAATGAGAAGCTTAATATGTCCATTCTTCTTGACAAGTTCCTGCATTGGATGGAAAAAAACAATGCTTCAAAGAAAGCTAACACAAATGGAAAACGCTATGTGTAAAAGCTTTAAATAAAAGACTTCTCAAGATCACATATGAGCTAATCATTTTTTTCTTTTGCTTAAAAAGAACACGGGTTCAGTAAGCTTTCATCGGGTTATATATAGCTTCATCAACGTGATTGTTCGCTAAAAACCCAACTTATTTCACTTGAGTCATGTTAGGCCTAACCAAACAGCCACTTCAGGCTCTTTGACCTATAATTTCTGCTCGGGACGAGAACTAGTTAGCACCTTTTTAAGATTGGAGGCTTTCACTTCCAATTTCTCAACATCAGCTTCATCTTCTTCTGGAGATGCTGAACTGGTTTCAAATGCTTTTTCCTGTTTTGCAGAGAGTAATAATAAAAGTTTATATCATTGAGCGATATAGAAGAGAGAAACGTGTTTGTTTCACTTCATATTCAAGAGCAGAGAATTGGAGATTTTTACCTCGCGAGAAACCGGAATGGCAGCCAAAACCTCGCGAAGAGCAGCTATGGAGCTTTTATACCGAAATCGAGCTTCATCAAGTGCTCCATTTCCTCTACCGGAACTAACACTGCCACGACCGGTTCCATCAGAGGCAGAATCTCCATTCCCCGCTCCGTTTTGGGAAATCGAATTGTTATTATTATTAGCAGCAGGAACTTGAGAAGAAGAAGTGGTAATGCACCATAATGCAGGGTTGCAGAGCTCATCATTCATTGAAGCGAGGATTCGATATGCTGCTTCAATTGTTTCCTCCAAATGTTTCTGTCCCTCCATTGCTAGATCTTGGGTCGTCTTGCCAATTGACATTGTGATGTCTTCCATTTTGAATAATTCCTAATCACAGTGAAAAAAAAAACCTAAAACAATTTGACAATCTGACACAAACAAAAAGGGGGAAATTCATTGATTTCATTGGATACAGACAAAAAAAGGATACATTAGGAAGTTCATGCCTCTCTTACTGGCTACTGCACTGCTAACTATTCTACAATGGAGGACAAAAATTGACCTCCACAAATTAACTTTCATTTGAAAGAGAAATACAAAAAAACGATAGAAATCACTGAAAATTTTCGCGACGGCGAATGGAGAGGGAAGAAGACTCACAGTAGGAGGAGCAAGACGGCGGCGGACGGCGACTAGCTGGAGCTGGAAGGAAATCTGATGGAGAAAGCTGGGTGGAGGCTTATTGAACTGTTTAATAATGAGTAAATTAGTTGGGCTTACATATCAAATGTTATTAATTTAGTCCTTAATTATTATATTTATTTCTATGAATGGTCCTTTGTTAATATTTTTGTTAAGAACGTGGATAAAATTGTAAATTCATACTTTTTTCTCTCTTCAATTAAGCTTCCTCCTTCCTCTCGCACTCCTTTCCCAAACCGTCACAGAGTTTGAAGCTTTAACTCAAAAACGAGATCTTCACTCTTCTCTCAATTGTTTGTCTAACGGGTGGAATTCAAATTCGAAACCATTAATCTTCATGGATGAGTTTTAATGTTTATTTTTTATTTTGCAATTTCTTGAGACTAACCGATAAAACTCATCCATAAGGCTTATTGATTTGATTTTAGGTTTCACCAGGAAAACTTATACTTGAGAGAGGAATGACCATTTCAGTTTTGGGTTTAAAGCTTCAAACTCAACAACGAGTTTGGGAAAGAGTAAGAGAGAAGGGAGAAAGCTTAATTGAGGAGAGAGAAAAGAATGAATATACAATTTTATCCATGTTTTTAACAAAAACGTTAGCAAAGGACCATTCGTGAAAAATGATATAATAATTGGAAACTAAATTAGTAATATTTGATATGTAGGAACTAAATATATAAAACGACCTATAACTGGGGACTTTTTATGTAATTTACTCGTTTAAACATAAAAGAAAATTAAGTGGGGTCAATTTTGTCCACTTTTCACTCACAAATATCCAGTTAATGGAACAAGGGTATTGTGATACAAAAAAATATATTCAATTATTCAAAAATAAATATTAATGCAGATGAATGAGAAATATTGCACATTTGGATGTATAAATACATAGTCATTTGATTTGGCCTTTTGTATTGTAATTTGTAAGTAGTGTTTTTAAATACTGGGTAATAATTGTAAACTAGTATTTGAACATGTGCCATGCACGGGTGGAACGAAATTTTTTATCGATTCTAAATAAAATTTAATGCAATATTTTTTAAGAATAAAGAAAATATACTTCTCGCATGATGTTTAAAATCATAGAAAAAAACCAAAGTGGAATAAATAATATTTGAGGGATTGATTGTGTACAACACACAAAAAAAATTAATACCAAATTTTCTAAAAGATTTCAGGGTATACAAAAGATATGTTCATTGTTCTTATTATTATTTAAAAAAAAATAAAAATAAATTTTAAATTTTACCATTTTCTTTTTGTTAAGGAAAAGAATTTGAGTATCATTTCTTTTTTTAAATAAATTTCAACCACATGTTTTTTAAAAAATTTCTCATTAATTTATTAAGTTATTTTTTTAATTTTTGGAAAAGTCAAATTATTATTCGGTTTTTTTCTTTTTTAATATAAATAAGGTATGTGTTATACTAAAAAATGCATTATTTTTCCATTCATATATTTGTTGCATTTTAATATACATAAAATACATTTCTATTTTCAAAAATATTTTGAAATATCAAATTTATATTATTCAATTTTATTTTTAAAGAAAATAGTGTTTGGGTATGATATATTTTTTGATTTCAAATAAACATCAGAGTATTTTTTACATCAATATTATGGTCGTTTATTTTTTTGGTGAATTCAAGTTGCTAGTAGGTTTTTCAATAGTGTAGAAAAATTTGAAAAATAATGTTAACTTCAAAGATGTTAAAATTTGAGGTGTGCATGAATACATTTTATCATTTGTTTTCTTTTTAATAAAAATAAGCCATGCGCTATGTAATAAACATTGCATTGGGGATCGTATATAATTTTTTTGCCTTTTAACCTTTGTGGTATAAACATGTATATGAAAAAATATTTAAACCTTTTTATCAATTAATATCTTCTTCCCTGGCTTGAGTGGGAGTAAGCCCACTCCCCAGAATTCATGGGGAAGTTCACCCAGGTTCGAGCCCCAGCGAAGGCAGCAACATTGGCTCTTTGTGCGTCATTCGCGTGAGAATAGTATGAACAAATACTACCTTGTAATAGAGTCAATAGCATTCAAAAAGAATTAATATCTTAAAGGCCATCAATTTAACCGGCATCAATTTCTTACTCTGTATATAATATTCTTTAAATTTTACTCAGTTATTACGTGGCGTTGACATGTTAAAGTTTTGCCAAATAGACATGCCAAATGTCGAATTGCTGTAAATCGGAGTCTCCTTTATTACACTAAAGGATTATTTAATTTAAATATTTTCCAATAAGGAAATAAAATATAAAAGTTTTTAAACGTGATTATGCTGAGAAATCTATGCTTAACAAATACGAAATTCAATTTCCATAAAATAAGTGTTTTTGTTAACTAATTTTTTAAATATTACTTGCTGACATGACAAAAAAGTTGTCTAATAAGCGTGCCACATGTCACAATCCTAGAAGCTCAACTCTTAAATTTTACATATAAGTTACTACATTTCTCCCAATAAATCGTCATATCTTTACTATGGTTCATTCGTACCCTACCAGTAGACCTGGTAAAAAATATACCAAAAGAGGATTTACAAGCTTTTATTCTTCAAATAGGAGTTAAATTGCATTTAAATTGTAAAACATGGTCATGTACATTACCAAAAAGTGTGCACATGTACGTACAATGCCACATTACAACCACATTTTCACAATGTGAAGTCTTATTTCGAGAATAAAAACATGGAACTCTTATTTTGATACTTTTTTTATGTTCTAGTCTTATTTAGGTGATTTCTATTTTTAATTTTACAATGTTTTTCATACAAAATAATTTGAAAATAACTTAAGTCAAACATCGTAAACCAAAACATGCCATTTAAATTGAGACGATTGAATACAATGTAATAAAAAAGGCCATCGAGCTATGTGTTCTGAAATATTTGTAGAAATTCTTTTCCCAAATAAAATTTACATTTTAATTTTTTATTTATCCCAAAACAAAATTTCCGTGTCTGTCTTTTCATAAAAAGAAATGCGTAGGTGGCCAATAACATACCTTCTCTAAACAAATTTTATGCATATCCAATTTTTACTTTTAGTTATATAACTTTTAAAAATCCAATACAGATATATACTAGAACTTTTATTTAAGAGAGAAGTAGTAATTTTGAAGACAAAAATGAAAAAAAAATAATGTAAATATTGAAGAATAGGTAATTTTTTGTTTTTGTTTGAAACAACATCGATGATGCATGTACTCATTTCGTCCTAAATTAAGTTGTCTCATTTTTTTTGGTCTCTTCAAAAAATCATATTCCTCCGTTCAACAATAAAGTTTCGAGTTAGTATTACAGTCTCTCCATAACTTATGTTTGTTTATACAATTTCACCAATAATTTGATAAAATAAAATAGTTGTGTCACATCTTGTTTTGTAGAATTTTTGATGTAATTTTCAACAATGTGAGGTATAATTTATAATGATATACCAATTTATAAATAAAGTAATTTTAAAAAAAAGATGGAATTTTACACGTTGGAAAGTTTATTGTTGGACGAGGAGAGTATTTTTTTTATTTTTGTAATAAAATAATTAATATGTTCATGGTTCACAATTTTTTCTATTGTAATCAAATTTCAATCATCCATATTTTTTTTTTATTTTTCAATACTTTTAATAGGAGAAGTAGAAATGGACTATTTAATATACCATGTTTAGGACACAAACGTATGAATCGTGATCTAGTCTAGCTAGTACTAGTAGGGGAAAGAAAAATGTAAAGATTTGTCTTACTACTATACGAATGAGCAATTGTATGTACTTCGTTCAAATCAAGGAGCCGTTCCACAAATTAAAGTTGAGCAAACATGGATATTTTGCCGAAGTTGAGCACAAGCAAAAGAAGAACAGAACAGATAGTAGGGGTTTGTGCAGGTGGGGTGGCTGGATACCCATAAAAAAAAACCAAGAAAAAAACTCAGAACTGATGGAAGGCCGTCCAATTGAATTTGAATTCAAACGATGTTAAAAACTGCATGCAACGAAGAACCGGCGGCCCGCGGGGAAGTAAACAACATGCATGCAATATGCAAGCTGATTGATTAAACCACATTGGGGTCATCATCAGCCACATTATTATTATTGGGGTCGTCATCATCCACACTATGGACTTCTGCTGGCCTTGGGAGGTTATGGCAAATGCACTTGAGGATTATCTGGGACAGAGCTAAGATGGCCCCCACACCATTGCTCACCTGCAATTTTTATTGTTTTATTAGAGTGAAAATGCAGAACATTTTGAAGAAGAAATTTAATGTAGAACTAACACCGTACTTACTAAGATAAAGATGTCAAATCTAATGCAAGCATATGCCGCCCAGAGGACTCCATTAGCGAAGCCGGAAGCTATGAGCCAGCCCGGCAAGTACTCCGCGCTCCCGCTCCTGATCACTGTCTTCTGCGTTTCATTCATTCCAATATTACGTACGTACCCAAGCTAGCTAGCTAGCCACACCTTCCCGCCCTTATAATTACTTCATTCAATTTACCTACCCATACTAATCAATTACTTCATTCAATGTTGTGCTCATTCTATCCTACAAAATTTTTCTTCTTTTTTTTCACTCATTTCAAAAAAACATTTCCCTTTTCTATTAAAAAATCATTTTTATCATTATTAATTCTTACCAACCTCATCGGCATCATATTTTCTCACTATTAATTTATCTATCGTATCCTACTTTTACACATTACATCTGAGGGTATTTTTGGAAACTCAACACCAAAATATACAAACTCTTAGGGTCCGTTTGGTATACGGAATTGGAATTGAAATTCCATGGGATTCAATTCCATAGAATTGAATTCTGATAATTCCAATTCATTTTTTGCACTATCAATTCCAAATCCACATAATTTTTGTGCTACCAAACACCAGAATTGGAATTGAAGTCCTCAATTCCAATTCCATAGTTTGAATTCCGTGTACCAAACGGGGCCTTAAATCTTTTAAAAATCAAAACCAAAAACTTTTTGTGTGAGAGAGACAGTATCATATTGACTTTTAAGTCCATACACTTAAAAAAAACTTGCACATTCTCATATAACTAAAATTCATTAATAAATGTTTCAAAAAAAATTCATGAATAAATAAATACGGAGTACTTATGTAACTATTAAAAAGATCCATTACAATTTTGAAGGATTTTTAGGTTATCACCTTAAATTTTAAGTAGCTCTAATAGTACTCCATCACACCACTTTAGTTTCCTCAAAAGTCAAAAGAGTGATGCTTCAGTAATTCTTTTGTCATGAAGATGAGTTGAACTTGAGAAAATATGCTAGAAATATTTACACTAAATAATACTTAAACATAAATCATTTTCTAATATAGTATTTGAACTTTTTTATTTCTTAATTAAATGACACTTTATAATGTTTAAAAAGAAGAATAATGTCCGATGATAATGAACATTTACTTGAATAATGACTAAGGATAATGGCTAAAAGTGTTACACTTGAAAAATAAAAACACATGATGCTATTTAAAAAACATCATTATATTATAGTGCTATTTAAGTAAATTACTCAATATGGTATGTATGTTATGAGTACATTGTTTTTTAGTATATAAACCAACCAATAAAACAATATGCTCCGTTTTTTATTTTTGAGATATTCGTCCGAAATCAACGGTCCATTTAGCAAAAATATTCTAATTTAAAGATAATATTAGCTTTTTGTTTTAATTTTATGATGTTGCATTTTGTTATTTAATTAAATCCATTACTCAAATTTGTGGCTGATGGTGTAACTTTTGTAATATCCAATCAAACTTTAATAATCATTACAAGTAAACTTTTTAACTTTTAAGACGTTGTTCCTCTAATAAAAGAAGTTAAAAGTTTGAAATTATTACCGGATAGAGGAAACATGAAATTTGGTTCCATCAAATTGAACACTAAGAATCATTGATTACCAGTTTAACACCAATAATCATCACCAATTACTAATTAATGCTTAGCTTGAACGAAATGAAGAGTTCCAGACATACCATCACAGATAGAGGCGACGCGTAGAGAATGATCCCGAAAACCACGCAGAGCGACCCCACGATTTTGGTTCTCTTCTCAATGGTGTCCGCGCCCAGGAGAGTGCCAACGACTATCACAGTTAGAACAAGCATTTGAACGCCGAACAAGCCCACCATTCTCCCCTGCAAATTCCATCATTCAAATTGCATGTTCAGTTCAGCTATACAAGCGTGCGGGAGAGAGTGGGGTGAAAAAAATGCATATCACGCGTGTTACCCGATTTCTGGGACTGGTGAAGACGAAAAAGACGATGAGATAGCAGATCTCCAAAACGATGCCGATGGAGTTTATGGTCATGACGAGAACGCTGTGGGGATGGACGGAGGGCATGGCGTAGAACACCCACATCAAGCAATTCATCAGCGCCGCATGGTACGGCCATGGATGGAAGCCCTCCACTGATCTGTTTTTCACGATCCTGTAAACAGTTGGCCTACAACAAGGCAGAATATAATTTGAATTAGGGATTAATTAGGCTTCCATTCCAGCTATTCGAGATCTCATCATCGGCTCAATCGCGCCTAGAATTAGTGTTTATCAGATAGATAGAGAGATTACATTGGCGAGATGAACAGAGCGCCGGAAACGATATTCCCTGCGCAAGAAGAAGCAGCATAGCGTGTAAACTTCACAGGAAAAACCAGAAAAAATACAGAGGAGCTCGAAAACCATCGATAATTGCAGACAATCCGATCAAATCAATACTCGACAAAAAAACTCTTAAAGCTCGATCAAATTGCCGCCGTATAATATGCTCATATATAGATAATTGCAGACGATCCGATCTAAATCAATACATTAAACTTTCAATCTAATACGGAGTAACTAAATTACGAGTCGAAGTCTAACAATCAAAGCATGAGTCCAAATTCAACTCGCCGTCAATCGTTTTCCGTCAAGACGAGAAGAAATTCGGAGATATTTCCTCCCGAAAAAAACGAGATGCTTCAAATTCGCATTGCGTGAGAACTCTACACATCAACAATCGGACAAGGATGTCGATACACATTTCAAAATCCCATAAATCACATAGCCTATCAAACTCACGCTCGAATTCCAGTAAAAGACACCTCAATCTCATAATCAAAATCAAAATCTGACACGAAATCTCAGTTTCGATCATCACATACACAAATACGATCATAATCGGATGAGTTGAAAACACAGGCTAGCTATACGGAATAGAATCAGAACAGAGGAGAAGAAAAAGAACAGGTTCGAAGAGAAAGACCGATAATGCCGATGACTGTGCGGATGAGAAGGAGGCGGTGATTCATTGCAGCTGATCGGAGCAGAGGAGAATGCTCTGCAACAATGCCGGAAACTAACGTCGATATATGATCGGAAAGTCTGCTGCGAATCCGGTTGAAGAAAATGCCGCGAATCTGTGTGTCAGTTATACGGGCCGGCGTACAATTCTCATTAGTGTATATATATACAGAATATACGATATATATACGGAGAGAGGGAAAGAGAGAGAGTTTCTTCCGTTGCAATCCATCGTCCGGCGCGCCAGACAGTTTGTTGTGAGGGGTTTAGGAATTGGCACACCGTTATGAGCATATTTACGTGCGACTGCCCCTCCCAATTCCTCCATTTGCATTTTGGAGTGTGGACTGCTGCTTCTGGATATTTGGTGAAGAAGAATACTAATCCTATTGTCTCATTTTGAAACATATCTCTCTTTCCACATAAAGTTTCATTTCATTTGTGAGTTGTGGCAAATAAAATTGAAGTTGAGTCAAATATAAAATTTTTAGTCATTTCACTCGATAAATTCTACCGAGTAATTTATAAAGTACTCTCCACATCTCTGAATATTATTCGGTTTTCTCACTTTTGGATGATTCAAGGGAAAAATATTTTTTGTGTTTGACCTTTCACAAATGTGCCCGGGTTTTCTTTTTTGAAAGTAATAATAATGAGAAAGAATAATTAAAAAACAGAAAGTAAGATGAGATGTGAAGGGTGAAATATGGGCAAGTAGGGTTAAAGAGAGTATTTTAGTCTTTTTTGAAAAATTTGAAATGTTTTATATGACAAGTAAGATGATAAAATTGGAATGGTTTGTGGAAGGGAGGGAATACTAAAATGTAATTGGTGTAGAAGAAACAAATACTAAGTAATATATGTGGGGCAAATTACAAACCGTAGTATATAGTAGTAAAATCTCTGAAAAGCGTGTAGTCACCTTTAGATTGTAACAATTCATCGATTCACACAATTCTTTCGATCGGATACAATTCAGAGAATTTTAGAACGAAGTATGAAGAAGATGTGATAATTTTCAAACCTATTTCTTTTTTACCAAAACTTGCCGGATACTTATAGAAGCGGAGAGGGAGAAGAGATGCGATTGCATCTCTCTTCTGAAATTCGCATCTAAACGCGCGAAAATTAGAAGAAGCGTTCTTTCGGAATTTCTTTATGCCTAATTCCGAAAAATAAAAATTCAAGTAAACTTTTAACACAGCATCTCGACCTCAGCCAGGGGCTCTGCCCCTTGGATCCCGCAGGGGCTGCCGCCCCTTGAACCTCTCTCGGAGGCGCTATCCCCTGGAACCCCCGTTAAAACAAAACTTTTATCATAACAAAGCCAACAACGCATACACCTCGCACCATCAAACCTTTTTGATGATTTATATGATATCATTGATCAAATAGTTATTCCAATATATAATTACTCTAAAATATAGTAAAATTTGTTTTAAGTAGCACCATAACTTAATACTTTTTCTCAAATGACCCCAAACAAGATTTGTCCAAAACTAAAATTAAATTAATCAATTAGTTATTAATAATATTCATTTACTAAAACACACTTGTATCATTTTTTTCTCAGTTTTGATCGATTCTCTCTCCTTGATTTGTCAGCTTATATTTTCCTTTGGATGAAAATTTTTTCACTGATCTATGACATTATAAAAATTATAGATATAAAACATTGTAAAAATTATGGAAGCTTTTTACTAATCGGAAACATTGATGGCTAATGCAATGGACATTTATAATTGCGATAATATTTTTTTTACTGACAATGTTTGGGTATGGACATAGATATTAACAACGATATTGGACATTATTATAGTGAAACCATGAAAGTCATTAAATCATGCATAATAAACATTAACAGAGCGACAGCGGGACACTGAGTATTTTGTGATTGACGATCGGCGAAGGATGATAAGACGTGATGGCACAATAGATACATAATTATATAAAGGGCATTTTAGTACTCTAGAATTAATAATTAATAATTATTAAAAATTATTTCCCCCGTCCTAAAATATATGTCACACTTGCTTTTTCAGCAGTTGCGGGTAATTTTGTTTATTTCTACGTTTTCATGGGTTATTTAATAAAATATAATATATTTTTGACATCTCTTATATCGAAGAACTTTTCATGAAGTTTTTTAATATGTAAATTTAATTTTTTATTTCTATGTCAATATATAAATAAAATGAATTAAAAAAATTATTTCCTCCGTCCCACTATATTTGTCCACTTTCATTTTTGCACACCATCCAATACACTTCTTTAATCCATTTTATTTTGTAATTTGTATATTAAAAAATTATATATTAATAATCTATATGTTAAGACAAATCAAACAAGATCACGCATGACTATATTTAAGCTTACACATTGAGAGAATTTGATGAGTCAAAGTGCTTAGATGAACAGTTCCAAAAGTCAAAAGTGGACGAATATAGCGGGTAGGCAGGAGTAGTATTTTAACTCGGGAAGGACAAATATTTAGGGAACTGGGAGTATTGAAAAATGCCTTCCCATTTTAAAACTCCGTACACATTTGCATTCATAAATAGAACATCTGGATCGATCTTCTCCCCTACAATGGCGCTGCCGGCATCGTCCAAGGGGGTGACAATATCGGTGCCGGTGCTTGCTCTTTCCACGGCGGCGGCGGCAGCCTTCTTCATCTTCTTTCTGTTTACCAATCTCTCTTCACCCTCATCTACCGCTCCCTGCTCTTGCCCTACATCCGCGGACCGCTCTGCCTCCGACATTGCTAGGCCTGAGGGGTGGATCTCGGCGTCGGCGGAGGATATTGGGTGGTTGAAGAGGCAGATCCAGGAAAACGGACTCCATATGAGGCAAAATGTGCTCCGCAAAGGGATTAACCCTCGCACTCGCCAACAACAGCTCCAGGATCTTCTTCAGTACGCACCTCTCTAAATCTTATTTCATTAATTGTATGTGTTTATAATATGCTTACTTGAGTAGATCAGTGTGGTTATAATATGGTTAGGATTGATCTTCTTATGCGTAAAGAGAGTGCACATATGATTTGATTTCTTCTTGAGCACTGAATGTGATTGGATCACTGAATAGCTTGCTACTGCTCTGACTATTCCATTTATACTCTGGAGTTTAGACACAAACATATAGTAGCTGTGAAAAATGGAGTGCTTCTCAATCTGTTTAGAATGAGGAGAGCACCAAAATATTCAATTTTGGGTAATGATTAATCAACAATAAAAGACCAAGCAAAAGATCAAATAAAATAAAAGCTGAACAAATTGTAATATACCTAGAATCCAAGAGAAAGCTTATAGCATGCAAGCTCATTGTCATCTTGGCTAAAACATTATTCTCGTGTGAACTGTCCACTGCTCGGAATCTCACTATACCATACAACTATTACCCACAATCAACCAACAGTCAAACAGACACAGATGGACGTTAAATTACTAGGTTGGTGTTTTGTTGTTGATGATGAAGGTTATGTAAAGAAGAAGATATGCTTAAAAGATTTTGAAGGGCTTATTAGCTGCATCAGTTTGATCGATGAATTTATAGAGTTGAAGGGATTATTTGCTACCTTTTCTGGAAATTGATCAAGTGATAAAGACCACAATTTTGATGCAATATTTAGAGTAAAACCACTTTAATAATAAGTTACAAATCTGTTTTATTGAAAAATGAAAACTACGTTGAGATTACAATGCTTTAAGTGCATGTTTGAGCCATTTTAGAGTCATTTTAGTTTATTTATAAATTGTACAGTTAGTGGAAAATTTGGTGACTAATTAGCCAGTCACATATGTTGAACCATGTGAGTGGTCAGTAAGTTCACCTAGATGATTGTGTTGGCGGCCTCCAAAATACTAGGAAACATTGTTTCTATTTAAGGCTATCAACTACATTTTTGTTCTGTAAGGAACTTGTTACTGAGAAATTTCCTAACAAGTTCTTAAGCAATTGATTTTGACATTGTCATTCTGGAATACCTTTTTGCTTTCGTGAATACTTCTCACACTGTTTAATTCAAAACTGTTGGCTTATTTGTGCAAACGTGTTCTGTTTTTTTAAAATTACAGAGTCAATTTTGTTTCCAACTTTTGGGATGCTGGTCTATGCTATTTTTTTGCAACAACAATATATCATTGTCTGTTCAATCTGCTCTCTTCCATTTTTAATGTTCTCTACTTCTCTTTAGTAATTTGTGATGCCTATTCTATTGAGTTAGCCTCGTTCTGTTTCGAAGTTGCTTGAGTTTGTTTATAAGTTAGCCAATCACAAATGCTAAATGCCTAAACCATGCGACACCAGACCTGGATGATTGTGTTGGTAGCTTATGAGTTATATGGGCTTTCGATCTTGGTCTAATTGTCTTTCCGTTTTAGTATTCTAATTAGTGTTCTATGCTTCTGTTTAACAAATTTGACGTCTTCAACAATCTGTTTTCTTTGAGCCATTTTAAAGTCATTTTAGTTTATTTATAAATTATACAGTTAGCGGAATATTTGGTGACTAATTAGCCAGTCACATATGTTGAACCATGTGAGTGGTCAGTAAGTTCACCTAGATGATTGTGTTGGTGGCCTCCAAAATACTAGGAAACACTGTTTCTATTTAAGGCTATCAACTACATTTGTGTTCTATAAGGAACTTGTTAATGTGAAGAATTTCCTAACAACTTCTTAAGCAATTGATTTAGACGATGTCATTTTAGAATATCTTATTTGCTTTCGTGAAATTTTCTCGGGCTGTTTATTTAAAAATCGTTGGCTTTTTCATGCAAAAGTGCTCTGCTTTTCTAAATCACTGAGTCAATTTGGTTTCAAACTTTTGGGAGGCTGGTCTATAACATTTTTTATGCAAAATGCAACAACAATATATCATTGTCAGTTTAATTATTTATAAATTATACAGTTAGCTGAAGATTTGGTGACTAATTAGCCAGTCACACCTGTTGAACCATGTAAGTGGTCAGTAAGTTCACCTAGATAATTGTGTTGGTGGCCTCCAAAATACTAGGAAACATTGTTTCTATTTAAGGCTATCAACTACATTTGTGTTCTGTAAGGAACTTGTTACTGTGAAAAATTTCCTAACAAGTACTCAAGCAATTGATTTTGACATTGTCATTCTGGAATACCTTTTTTGCTTTCATGAAATTTTCTCGGGCTGTTTATTTAAAAACTGTTGGCTTTTTTTTTGTGCAAAACTGTTCTGTTTTTCTAAATCACAGAGTCAGTTTGGTTTCAAACTTTTGGGAGGCTGGTCTATTATATTTTTTATGCTAAAACAATATATCATTGTCAGTGTAATCTGCTTTCTTTCATTTTCAATGTTCTCTTCTTCTCCGTAATTTGTGACACCTTTTCTATTGAGTTAGCCTTGAGCTATTTCAAAGTTTCTTGAGTTTGTGTATAAGTTAGCCAATCACAAATGCTAAATGCCTAAACCACGCGAATGGCTAGATCTGGATGATTGTGTTGGTAGCCTATGAGTTATAAGGGCTTTGAATCTTGGTCTAATTGTCTTTATATTTTAGTATTCTAATTAAAGCTCTATGCTTCTGTTTAGAAAATTTGATGCCTTCAACAATCCGTTAGCTTTGAGTCATTTTAGTTTATTTATAAATTATACAGTTAGCTGAAGATTTGGTGACTAATTAGCCAGTCACACATGTTGAACCGTGTGAGTGGTCAGTAAGTTCACCTAGATAATTGTGTTGGTGGCCTTCAAAATACTAGGAAACATTGTTTCTATTTAAGGCTATCAACTACATTTGTGTTCTATAAGGAACTTGTTACTGTGAAAAATTTCCTATTAAGTTCTTATGCAATTGATTTTGACATTGTCATTCTGGAATACCTTTTTTGCTTTCGTGAAACTTTCTCGGGGTGTTTATTTAAAAACCGTTGGCTTTTTGTGCAAAAGTGTTCTGTTTTTCTAAATGACAGAGTCAATTTGGTTTCAAACTTTTGGGAGGCTGGTCTATAATACTTATAATGCAACAACAATATATCATTGTCAGTTTAATCTGCTTTCTTCCTTTTTTTAATGTTCTTTTCTTCTCTTTTGTAATTTGTGATACCTTTTCTATTGAGTTAGCCTCGAGCTATTTCAAAGTTGCTTGAGTTTGTGTATAAGTTAGCCAATCACAAATGCTAAATGCCTAAACCATGCAACTGACCTGGATTATTGTGTTGGTCGCCTATTAGTTATAAGGGCTTTGAGTCTTGGTCTGATTGTCTTTCTATTTTAGTATTCCAATTAATGTTCTATGCTTCTGTTTAGCAAATTTGACGTCTTCAACAATCCGTTAGCTTTGAGCCATTTTAGAGTCAGTTTAGTTTATTTATTAATTATACAGTTAGCTGAAGATTTGGTGACTAATTAGCCAGTCACACTTGTTGAACCATGTGAGTGGTCAGTAAGTTCACCTAGATAATTGTGTTGGTGGCCTCCAAAATACTAGGAAACACTGTTTCTATTTAAGGCTATCAACTACATTTGTGTTCTATAAGGAACTTGTTACTGTGAAAAATTTCCTGACAAGCTCTTAAGCAATTGATTTTGACATTGTCATTCTGGAATACCTTTTTTGCTTTCGTGAAATTTTCTCAGGCTGTTTATTTAAAAACCGTTGGCTTGTTTGTGCAAAAGTGTCTGTTTTTCTAAATCACTGAGTCAGTTTGGTTTTGGGAGTCTGGTCTATAATATTTTTTGTGCAACAACAATATATCATTGTCAGTTTAATCTGCTTTCTTCCATTTTTTAATGTTCTCTACTTCTCTTTAGTAATTTGTGATGGCGTTTCCAATGAGTTAGCCTCGAGCTTTTTCAAAGTTGCTTGAGTTTGTTTATAAGTTAGCCAATCACAAATGCTAAATGAACGGTGTGACTGGCCAGTAAGTTCACCTCGATGATTGTGTTTGTAGCCTTTGGTTATACGGGGCTATTTGTTACTTCTAATAGCTATTTAATATTTACTACATCATTGTTCTATAATGAACATGTTAATGTGAAAATCAAATCTTAAGAATTTGTTAAGCTATTGATCGTTGACTTTACAATTCTGAAATGCTCATTCTGCATTCCCGACATTCTTTTTATCAGGGTGTACATTGAGGTTGTTTATTCTTTACCATGTTTTAGTTTCGGGCACATAATTAACTGATTCAATATGGACTGAAAAGTTTTCACTGCTTCTTATATTCTGTGAATTTTTATGTAGTAAATGCAGCAATGCATGTATGGTCTAACGGGAATAGACTCTGATTATTGTAAAATTCTGAATTTCTGGGAGTATTTATATAAATTTTTCCTTAAACTTTTAAGCACTTGTAAATGATGGCGTCTTTTTTGTTATAAACTTCTTGATGGAGGTTATTTAATAACATTTTATGCATTATAATTATTGACCATTTATTATATACCTGGATTTTTTGTTTGGCATTTTGAAGTTCTCTTTAGCGAATTCCGACGCCTTTAAGGTTTTGACACTCATTTATCCTTGATTTGTTTTAAAGAAATGTGTGTGTTTGTACTTTAATAGTTTAGTCAGGTATTGGAGAATTTGGCTACTAGTTAAACGCCACTCATGCTATATACATTGTATATTCTGAGTACATTGACCTAGATGGTTGTGTTGTTAGCGGCCAAGTTACAAGAGAACTCAATGAGGCTCTGATAACATGTGAAAAGACTTGTTAGGAAAAGATAATGAAGGAGATTAATCTTTTGATAATTGTAAAATAAAACATGATATAAGGTTTTTGGTTGCTCACTGCTGCTCTGGTTGTAGTTGGGCAAGTCTTATTGTGATTAGGATGTAGGGGTCAATTTATAGAGCTGAATGAAGTTGAGCTTAACTACTCGGGTAAATTGAATGGTACAGAACTTGAATTGATTGCAATGTAATTTTGAACTGAGAATCCTGAGCAAAACAGTACCGAAATTAAGTGTAGCTCAAGGGGAATGCGACCATTTTGAGATTGAGGGAGTGATAACCCACTCATTTTTCTACATGAATATTCTACACTTTCGAAGTCTATTACTTACATCGATGGTCTATAATGAACATATGAAAACAAAACTAAGACTCTAAGTTGTTAAGTGATTGATTTTTATTTTGCAATTCTGGAGTACCCATAACAAATTCCTGATTTCAAAGCCATTTCGTCTCTGGTGAAGGTCATAACATATAAGTAAAATACAACAACAACAACAACAACCCAGTTGAATCCCACTACAGTAGGGTCTGGGGAGGGTGTGTGTACGCAGACCTTGCCCCTATTTGAAAGTAGGGAGGCTGTTTACATATAACATATAAGTAAAATATTGTGCAATATCTTCAATTACCATTTAGTATGGGGATTGAAGTATTTTGTGTTTCTCTATTTTAATGACCTCGTTAGCAAATTGTGATGCCTTTAATGCGTTGACAATTGTTAGCCTTGGGCTAGGTGACTAATTAGCGGTCACACGTGTTGAACAGTATGAATGTAACTCCACTTTGATGGTGGTGTTCTTAGCCTCCTTGTTACCAAGGAGCCCTATGCACCTTTTAGAGAGAAATGACTCAAGTAGCCATGGGAAACTATTCACAAAAATGCAACTTGGCCATTTGCCTTCACCAAAATCTAATAAATCCCTTAAACTTCTAAAAAAGATGTAAATAACATATCTGCAATTATGAAGATTCCTTTCATTTCCCAATTCCTATCTCAGTAGGGTGACTGGTAATAATCTTGTACATACAAAAACTGCAGCCAGACCTTTCTGCTATATTATTCCATGAGAAGTTGATCGCATTTTCAGTAATCTTTGGTAACTTGTATCTTTTTAGGTTCAAGGGCATATCACACTATGAAGGAGAGGAGGCAAATAATCACACAGCTCTCCCTTGTCCGGGTGAGCTCCTTGTCGAAGAACATCACAGCAATTATGGGGAGCCATGGGCTGGAGGGCGAGATGTATTTGAATTCCTCGCGAACTCTGTTCATCTGTCTCCGAATTCCAGAGTCCTAGAGATCGGATGTGGGACCCTCCGCGTTGGGTTGCATTTTATCCGGTACTTGAATCCCGAGAAATTCCACTGTCTCGAAAGAGACGAGCTGTCCCTAATGGCTGCTTTGAGGTACGAGCTTCCCTCCCAAGGTTTATTATCCAAACGTCCTCTTATTTTAAGAGGGGAAGACATGGAGTTCAGTAAGTTTGGGTCCGAAACAATGTACGATTTGATATATGCAAGTGCTGTTTTCTTGCATATGCCCGACAAGCTTGTGTGGGTTGGGTTAGAGAGACTAGTCGGTAAGTTGAAACCTTTCGTAGGACGTATTTTTGTGTCACACAATATAAAGTTCTGTTCAAGATTAGGAGGAGATGAATGTACAAAAAGGTTAGGTGGTCTTGGCCTAGAGTATCTAGGGAAGCACACTCATGATAGTTTGCTTTTCAACCATTATGAGGTTTGGTTTGAGTTTAGGAGATTCAAGGAATAGAGTGTTTGTTTTTGTTTAAATTTGTAGAAAAGCGATTATTTTGTATACAATATTCAAAAGCACCTCAGAGATGCTTTTTTGTTGTTCTCTCAAATACCAAAGCTCTGTCAAACATTATCAAAATAAAAAAAGGTTGAGCCCACCCGAGAACCCCATCGGAACCAGCCGAACTAAAAGGAGGTAAATTGAGCTATAATCACAGTTAAGCTGGCAAAGGATGGAGTCTGTGCACATGGTACTTGCAGAATCTCTATACTTAACATAAACAAACATCATCACAAGGATTTTATCTAACGTAGAGAATCAGTCACTAAAAAGGAGAGTTGATCCATTGACATTTTTTCAAGAGATTCAGATGGAGGGTGATATTTCATAATCTTCAAAGAGAAATGAATTTGGGTGGAGTGATGCTACATGTACACTACTCTTGCACTATTTCTTACATTAGTCATTGTTTAAGTTCCTAGAAACTACTCTCTCATCTAGTTTGACCTTTTTTAGTCAAACTTGACGAATTTTAAATCCGCAAGACAAATCCAATGCAATCATTTTTGTACTCCGTACTAATATCTGGTACAATTGGTTTTTAATTGATGATTAAAATCTGTCTAGTTTGACTGAGAAAAAGACAGACTAGATGAATATTTCGAGACGGAGGTACTACTTGTTTGTGTGATTATTACCCTGACAATTTGTTTTTGTAGATTAAAAATGGTGTGGTGTAAAGAAAGATTTATCATGGGTGTACATTTTTTTTGGTGAACTGCAAATAGAAGCTTGTGAATTTGTGATGTGCTTTTCCTCCTTGTTCTCCCTTGTGCGAGAGAAATGACATGTTTGGATGCAAGAACGCGGGCATCAATTTTAGTTAAACATGTTCTTTTTCTTAAATTTAATTTAATTATATCACATTTATATTATACTTTCTTTGTCTCAATTCAAACCATCTATTTTGGTTTATAGAGTTATTTAAGAATTGGCGTGGAATTTAGAAATTAAATTTACATATTAAAGTTTTATGAAGCAAGAGGTGATGTGATTATATTAAGGATCCGTTTGGTATATGGAATTGATGGAATTGGAATTGAAATTCCATGGGATTCAATTCCATAAAATTAAATTGTACGAATTCCAATTCATTTTTTGCATTATCAATTCCAAATCCACATAATTTTTGTGCTACCAAACACCAGAATTAGAATTAAAGTCCTCAATTCTAATTCCATAGTTTGAATTCCATGTACCAAACGGGGCCTAAGTGACTAGTAAAAATAGGGAAAGAATGGGAGTATATAATTACATAAATAAATGAACAAAAATGTGAGTGAAGGGAGAAATGAACAATGGGAAGAGCATGAGATTCTGACCTTGTCTGTCAAGTGCCCACCTGCAAACCGACCTTTTGTTATTCATATCCCTGAAAGCTCTCAATTCCTCTTGTAATGGCATTCCCAAACATGTCATCATGATGATATAAGCGTGATGATGTTTATTTTTCTTTTCTAGAATACTTTAACGGCAAGGCTCCGTTTGGTATCGGCGTTCGTGTTTTAGAAATGCTACTTGACGGTAGCATTTAGCGTTAGCCTTTTCAGAATTAATCAAAATGCTAACGCTAATCGAAAATGCGGTTCCCAAACAAGGCCGTTGGCACTGGCATCTAGAGTCAACAAATGACACTCACCCATTTGGAGCATCTTCGAAGCTTCGTTCATAAAATTGATGGTTCTTACCTCCAACCCTCTCCCTAAACCCCTCACTACACTCCCCTCTTTGTCTCCTCCAAACGGGTTGTGTTGCTTACTATTTGAAATTCATTTGAAATAAAGATTACTGTACAATTATAATCCTTTTTAAAAAAGATGAACATTTGAGAAGAAATGTTACCTTAATTGGTAGCACTTGTTTTTGGCCATAGTAGACAACCGACGGCAGGCTGGAAAGGAAATTGTAACTCTTGATACCATGATGATGAATTGAAATTATGAAATATTCTCACATTATTTTTCTCTCTTAAAATATTGTTTGACAACTAATATTTTACATTTCAATTCTAAAATTTGAATTCTTAAATTACAAATAACAAGGAGAGACATACATATTTGCAACTAAGCTTTGTGATGCATTTGAAGAATTTGTCTCAAATCTGGATCCAAAATTTTACACTATGTTTGGTTCCAGAAATTTTAAATCGAAAAAGAAAGAATGCTTTGGAAAATGTTCTTTGTTTTGTTTTGTTAGAGAAAAAAAGAAAAATAAAGTAGAAGAAAAATAAAATGAAGGGAGAAAATAAACAAAGAAAAGAGAAGAACTTCCCCTCCCATTTTGGCGAGGGAAGGGAAGAAATCTGCCTTTTTTTCTTCCCTTCTTAATTTCACGAACGAAACATAATGTTAAGATTTTCAAGCATGGAGTTTTGGTCAAATCCAAATTTCAATTTTCAAACATGTCATAAACGAATTTTACCTAAAATGTTAATCGTTATAAGATTTGCAAATTAAAGTTCGAGTGATATGAGAGAAACATCTTCAATATATATGGAGTGAATTATGACTAATATAGGAAACTGACGAATACAGAGTAATATAAGATTACCATAATTCAAATTTACTCGATATAGAATTAACGGTTTGTCAAACACTTGTAAAAATGTAAATCAAGATACAAATGAGTCAAAGCATTTGGTTGGATCATATAACACATGGGCTATATTATGCACGATCCAATCTTGTCTTATCATCACCGCTGTTAGGGTAGGATAAATGTAGTCCACACAAAAGGAACACACTAAATCTTTCTATATTCGAATTCTGGATTGGATCAGATCGGATTGATCCAATTGATGAACACCCATTATAGCAACGATGAATAGATAAGATAGCCACGTGTATAGTATAGGACACGTGTTATATGATCCAATCGAACCTTTTTACTCATTTGTATGTCGAGTTACATATTTACAAGTGTTATAAAAAACTACTAATTCTATTGTGCACCTAAGGTGCACAGTAGTGGCACAGTGTTGGCACGGTGGTATAGTGTTTATAAATGAGATGTTTTTAGGGATATCCAAAAAGAGAAAGTTGGTGAAGTGTTTTGAGATATGAGAAAGTATCTATACATTTTGATCTTGAGTTTTTGTATTAATTGGTTCATGACTAAATTTTTACATTGTATATATTTTGTAATGATATGATATTTGTTGTCTCACTTTTCAAATTGTTGTGGTCACTCAAATCAACCACACCAACACCCAAACAAGGTTTGAATCTATTTAATTCTTCCCAAACTAGTTGCATTTCTTTTCATATGTCAGAAAATACTCCGTAATTGTTAAAACTCTTAAACATCGTGTTAACTTCACGATAGTTCTTTATCCTTTCCGCCTTAACTTCACATTAGTAGCATATTTCTCTTTTGTAGAATAAAATATTGAACCATTGGTATACATGTAACCGTCATAACGTGGTTCTTCAAAACAAGAGTAACATTTATCAGAAAGTACAAAATTATCTCTTTCCAGCCAAGTCGATTGACATACATGTGACGTACAAAAATCGAGCAAGATTTATTTTGATCGGATGCGTCTCCAGAACAAATATTTTCTTGTCGCACATACACATTTTATCCATGCAATTCAAAATTAAAAGTGTAATATAAGTGCAATGTAAGTATGCTATACATGTAACCGTTGTAACTCGTAAGTCGTAACCTAACTCTTCGAAAAATGAGTAACATTTACTTTGAAACGTAAAGTAAAAATAGTGTATTTTGAGGCAGACCGGTTCACTTACACGCAGCGCAACTCTTTAAAATACGTGCAACATTTGTTTTGAAACGAATGTCTAATTTTAGTCAAACTGGTTCGTTTTTTTGTAGCGGTGCCGAGCCGTTCAACGATGAAATTTGAAAGTGGTTACAAAGTGGAGACAATATTTGATGGAATCAAAGTAGGAATTGAGCCTTTTGGGTGGACATATGCTACATGTACACTACTCTTGACTATTTCTTACACCACACTTCATAAATGATTACTCCCTCCGTCCTCCTGTATTTGTCCACATTTGACTTTTGGAACTATTCATCTTAGCACTTTAACTCATCAAATTCTCTCAATGTGTAAGTCTAAATATAGTCAAGTGTGATCTTGTTTGATTTGTCTTAACATATAGATTATTAATATATAATTTTTATAATTTTTTAATATACAAATTACAAGATTAAATGGATTAAAGAAGTGCATTGGATGGTGTGTAAAAATGAAAGTGGACAAATACAGGAGGACGGAGAGAGTAGTAAATACTACTCCTCCCGTTCCAAAGTATCCTATCTTGTTTGATTTTTTGAGTCAGACTTGACGAACTCTAATCATTAAATACATTAAATTTGTATCGTGTATTGTTACAATGAAATAAATTTTTACTCTGTAAGTTTTCCACAAGATAAATCCATTACAATAATTTTTTATCTAATATATAATACAATTTATATTTAATTGATGATTAAAGTTTGTTCAATTTGATTCAAAAAAGTCAAATTAGATAAATTTTGTGAGATACTTGTTTGTACCATTACCCAGACAATTTGTTTTTGTAGTTCAAAAAAATGGTGTGGTATAAAGAAAGATTTATAATGGGTGTACATTTTTTTTGGTGAACTGCAAATAGAAGCTTGTGATATATATCTATCCTCATTGTTCTCCATTGGATGCAAAGATGGCTATCGAAATGGGTGAATTTTAAGCTTCAATAAAATAAAAACTGTAATGTATATTTGTCTAATAATGATTTTATTATATTTATCTAGTTCATGATTTTAAATTTTATTTTACTATACCTATATGCAATACAAATTAAGAATAATTCAAATTCAAATTTTGTTCAGTTTGATTCGAAAAAATTAAATTGAATTAACTTAACTTTAATTGCATATTTTTCTTTTTTGTATGTCTCAACTTAACTTTTCATGAGATAGTTTGGTGTTCTCATTATTTCACTCATCATATTTATTAGGTAATATTTTCGGATATGAGCGAATCAGGTGACTCATCTGTTAGATAGGACATCTGATGCTATGTCTGATATTTTAGAGTGGATCTCTCTCTCCAAACCTTATTTGCAATGTTTTAACACTTGATATGAATGGATAATACAAGCACAAACAGCTTTCATTTAAAAAAATCTACAGTTTCAATTTATTAAAAAATGTTTTTGTGACGAAAGAGGAGTAAAATTATGCTGACAACTTGTGCTAAAGAATGTTACCTCACCTTCTCTTGTTTGGTTAAAGAAATTTAAAAGTGGGACGAAATAATACTGTGAATATTTTTTTTCAATATATAGAGTGAATTATGACTCTATAAACGTAGTCAATCTTGTCTTATAAATCTTTGTGTATTCGAAGTTCCAGATTGGATCAGATCGGATTAATCCAATTGATGAACACCCATTATAGCGACATTGAAAAGATAAGACCGCCACATGTATATTATAGGACACACGTTATATATGATCCGATCGAACCTTTTTACTCATTTGTATATCGAGTTACGTATTTACAAGTGATATAAAAAAACTCTAATTCTAGTTCACGAAAGTGCAGTGGCACGGTGAAGATGTATCTCTCAAATTACTCAAACTTTAATAGGCAAATATATTGTGCACCTAAGGTGCACGGTAGTGGCACGGTGATGGCACAGTGGTTGCACGGTGGTGGCACGGTGGTATAGTGTTTATAAATGAGATGTTTTTTAGGGATATCCAAAAAGAGAAAGTTGGTAAATTAATTTGAGATATGAGGAGGTATCTATACATTTCGATCTTGAGTTTTTGTATAAATTGGTTCCTGACTAATTTTTTGTATCGTATATATTTTTTAATGATATGATATTTGTTGTCTCACTTTTCAAATTGTTGTGGTCACTCAAATCAATCACACCAACACTCAAACCAGGTTTGAATCTATTTAATTCTTCCCAAACTAGTTGCATTTCTTTTCATATATCAAAAAATAACTGTTAAAACTCGTAAACATCGGGTTAACTTCACGATAGTTCTTTATCCTTTCAACACCGCCTAAACTTGACATTAGTAACATATTTCTCTTTTATAGAACAAAATATTCAACCATTGATATACATGTAACCATCGTAACGTAGTTCTTCGAAACACGAGTAACATTTATTTTGTAACAGAAAGTACAAAATTATCTCTTTCAAGCCAAGTAGGTTGACATACACGTAACGTACAAAAATCGAGCAAGATTTATTTTGAAATGGACGCGTCTCCAAAATAAGTATTTTCTTGTCGCACATACAAGTTTTATTTATGCAATTCAAAATTAAAAGAGTAATATATATAAGTGCAATGTAAGTATACTATACATGTAACCGTTGTAACTCGTAACGTAACTCTTCAAAATAGGAGTGAAATTTATTTTGAAACGTAAAGTATAAAGTAGTGTATTTCGATACAAACCAGTTGACTTACATGCAACAATAACTCTTTGAAATACGTACAATATTTATTTTGAAACGGGTGCATAATTATCTAATTTTAGCCAAATTGCTTTGTTTTTTTTTGTAGCAGTGCCGAGCCATTCAACCATAAAATTTGAGAGGGGATACCGTATTTGATGTAATCAAAGTAGGAATTGGCCTTTTGGGTGAACATATGGTACATGTACACTACTCTTGACTATTTCTTACATTACTCTTCCCGTCCCAAAGCATTCAATCTTGTTTGACTTTTTTTAGTCAAACTTGACGAACTTTAATCATTAATTACACTAAATTTGTGATGTGTATTGATACAATGAAATAAATTTTTACTCTGTAAGTTTTCCACAAGGTAATAAGTGTAAAATTTAAAAATAAAAATTATATATTTTAAAATTACACCTAAAGTTCTACAAAACAAGATATGACATGTGAATAGTTATTTTATCAAATAACTAAAAGAATAGGTGAAGAAATTGGTTAAATTTGATCATCTGAATAGTGACTGAAAATATTATTTAAAACAGAGGGAGTACATATAAAAATTTATTTTTTCATTGATTCTAGCCAACTTCCATCTCGCATAATATTGAAATGTTTGGTTCACAAACATAATAGTCATAAACATCGCAAACTTACTATTTGTGAAATTAAATGAAAAAAATTAAATGGTCTAAAGTGATTTTAAAATGAAATTTTAAATCATAAATAGTAAGTTTGTGAAGCTTGTGAGCATTCTGTTTGTGAACCTAGCTTGTAATATTTATGTTGCATAATATAAATTGTTATAAATCAATAAAGTAGAAAAAAAATTAAATAATCAAAAATAAGTTTTTTTTAGTTTCTTTAAGATTAATTTTTTGGAGAACGAAAAATTAAGAATTTTACATATTAAGGACCGGACCGGACTTGAAACGGTCCTAACGGGACTACGCGGTCCTCGTAGGTCCCTATTCTTTTACAAGGACCGGACTAGTCTAGACCGATTTTTTAAAAAGACCGAATCAATCTCGTCCTAAATAGTACCAGTCTTTTCAAGAGACCGATCCAGTCTCACTATTCTTGTCCTTTTACTCATCTCTACCCACCCACAAACCCATTTTTTTGTTATTCATATACCGTAAACGCCCAAAAATATGTCTTTGCCCTTTGTCCCTCTCAATCCTTCTGGTAATGGTATGGCATTCATAGTAGCATGATGTTTATTTACTCACTCCGTCCCAAATGGTTTGCAATATGTGTAAAATATCATCTTTTTTAAAATTATTTTATTTACAAATTGGTAGAGAAATTTAAAGTAAAAATTACACCGTTACGTTCTAAAATACGACAAAAGCTAAACAAGATGCGACAAATTCAAATGACAATGGGAGACATTCAAATTTGCAATTAAGTTCTGTTTGTCTCAAATTCAAGTTTTAGACTATATTTGCTTCAAGGAATTTAAAAGTGGAAAGAAATAAATGCTATGGATTTTTTTTTGTTTTGTTAGAGAAGGAAAGAAAAAAAATTAGAAGAAAAGTAAAAAGAAGGGAGATTCATCTTCAATATATATAGAGTGAATTGTGACTAATATAGGAAATTGACAAATATAGATCGATTAATATAAAATTAACATAATCCAAATTTACTTAATATAGAATTAACAGTACTGTCTAACAGTTGTAAATACGTAACTCGACATGCCAATGAGTCAAAAGCATTTGGTTGGATCACATAACGCATGTACTAAACACATGCCAATCTTATCTTATCATCGCCCCTGTTGGGAGCGTTCAACCGGATCGTTCCGGTTTGATTCGATCCAAAAGTTTGGATAAAAGAAAATGCATTTCATATCAAATTGGAAAAGTTTTGAGATATCCGAGGTTTAGATAGCTAAATTTCCAGTTTGGATCAATGAAATATCCAGAATATTTTAAATTTTTATGTTGGAGTTTTTCACATCAAAAAATAAAGAAGAATAGTACTAGCATGTATAGAAGAGTGAAACTCTACCTATCAACTTAAGCTTTTGGGTTAGAATAATGAATCTCGATTCTACATGCAAGTGGTTAATTTTATCCGACACTCTACCCATTGTTCTCGGCTCACCGAAAATCTAACATTTTATCGAAGACATCAAAAAACGCTTCATGGAAGTCCGTAGAAATATAGAATTAAATTTGTAACTAACCGGAGATTTTAAAAAAAACTTTATTGAAACCATAAAACATTAAAAATAAAACCGGACATGCTTTTTGCACTCGGGAATTGACCTTTTTGATACCGAGTCGACTCGCTCACCACCGCTACACAAATGACGTGTAAGCTTTAAAAGAAAAACATTGCTTCTAACTCCAGAAAGAGAGTGTTCCATTCCACTCCTTCCTCTGTTTTGTTATAATTAAGAATCCCTCCATTAACACCTCTCTCTCTTTCTCTCTCTAGAATCCGCCATTTTTGATCAAATCTCTGCAAGTTTTTTTTAAAGAAGAAGAAGAAGAAGAAGAAGAGAAGGTATAGTAAATGGTGATGGGGAAGAATGGTGTGTTATTTGTGGTGGTAACCTTAACTCTGCTGCTCCTCGGGTGTTCTTCTTCTTCTTCAGCTGCTCCTCCTGCCGCCAGTAAGTGATTAGTTAATTAATTACGTTGCGCAAACTCGAGTTTTTGGTTGAATTGAATTGGTTCATTATTGACATAGCAGCGATCGCGATTTTCATTCTCTCCGAATCGACTGTTTTTTTAGAAAAATAATAATGTTCATGCGCAAAACTCGAGCTATAACAGATCTGTTGTGCACATTCGGAGAGGGGTTGGGAGGCAAACGCAATTCCCACACTGGATGAACGAAATGAGAAAAAGAAACCAAAATAAATAGATTCAACCCGACGCATTAGTATGATTTTGGGAGGTGTCTAAAAATAGATTTGTGAACGTTTGACCCAAAGCAAATAATATCGTGCTTTGTATATTTGAAATCCCGAATTGGATTGATTCGATTGATGAACACCCCTTATAGCGACGATGACAAGATAAGATCGCGACATGTATAGGATAGGACACATGTTATACGATCCAATTGAACCTTTTTAGTCATTCGCATGTCGAGTTGCATTTTTAGAAGTGTTGTAAAAAAACTACTAATTCTATTGCACGAGAGTGGCACGGTGAATCTCTCATATCTTTCAAACTTTAATAGGCAGATCTATTGTGCACCTAAGGTGCATGCACAGTAGTGGCACGGTAGTGGCACTGTGGTATAGTGTTCATAAATGAGATGTTTTTAGGGATATCTAAAATAGAAAGTCGGTAAAGTGTTTTGAGATACGAGGAAGTATATAAACATTTTGATCTTGAGTTTTTGTATGAGTTATTGGTTCCCGATTGAATTTTTAGGGCATTTATAATTTGTAATGATGTGATATTTCAATTTTTGTTTTCTCAGAAATTGTTGGCGCGGTCGTCACGAATGTTGTCTCACTTTTCAAATTGTTGTGGTCACTCAAATCAACCACATCACCAACACCCAAACCAGGTTTGACGCTATTTAATTCATCCCAAATTAGTTGCATTTTTTTATCAAAGAATAATTGTTAAAACTCTCAAACATTGCGTTAACTTCACGTTAGTTCTTTATCCTTTCAACACCGCCTAGTAACATATATCTCTTATTTATTTTGAAAAAGAAAGTACAAAATTATCTCTTTCAAGCCAAATCCGTTGACATACACATAACGTAACGTAACTCTTCGAAAATGGAGCAACATTTATTTTGAAACGGACGATGCGTCTCCCAAAGAAATATTTTTGTGTTGCACAAACACGTTTTATTTATGCAATTCAAAATTAAAAGTGTAATATAAATGCAATGTAAGTATGCTATACATGTAACCGTCATAACTTGTAACATAACTCTTCAAAATACGAGTAACATTTACTACCTCCGTCCCGCTATATTCGTCCAGTTTTGACTTTTGGAACTGTTCATCTAAGCACTTTGACTCATCAAATTCTCTCAATGTGTAAGCCTAAATATAGTCATGTGTGATCTTGTTTGATTTGTCTTAACATATAGATTATTAATATATAATTTCTATAATTTTTTAATATACAAATTACAAGATAAAATGGATTAAAGAAGTGCATTGGATGGTGTGCAAAAATGANTTTGACTTTTGGAACTGTTCATCTAAGCACTTTGACTCATCAAATTCTCTCAATGTGTAAGCCTAAATATAGTCATGTGTGATCTTGTTTGATTTGTCTTAACATATAGATTATTAATATATAATTTCTATAATTTTTTAATATACAAATTACAAGATAAAATGGATTAAAGAAGTGCATTGGATGGTGTGCAAAAATGAAAGTGGACAAATATAGTGGGACGGAGGGAGTACTTTGAAACGTAAAGTACAAAATAGTGTATTTCGAGACACACCGGTTGACTTACACACAGCGCAACTCTTTGAAATACGAGCAACATTTATTTTGAAACAGATGGGTCTCCCAAAGAAATATTTTCGTAATATAAATGCAATGTAAGTTTACATACATGTAATCGTCGTAGCGTTCGTAACTCCTCAAAATACGAGTAACAATTATTTTGAAACGGAAAGTACAAAAATAACTCTTTCAAGCCAAACCGGTTGACATACACGTAACGAAAACAAATCGGGCAACATTTATTAATTTTGAAACGGATGCGTCTCCAAAACAAATATTTTTGTGTCGCATAGACACGTTTTATCTATGTCATTCAAAATTGAAAGTGTAATATAAATGCAATGTAATTATGCTATATATGTAAATGTCATAACTCGTAGTGTAACTCTTCTCGAAAAACGAGTAACATTTACTTTGAAACGTAAAGTACAAAATAGTGTATTTCGAGGCGGACTGGTTGACTTACACGCGGTGCAAGTCTTTGAAATACGTGCAACATTAATTTTGAAACAGATGCATACTTATCTAATTTTAGCCAAACGGGTTCGTTTTTTTTGTAGTGGTGTCGAGCCGTTCAACGATGAAATTTGAAAGTGGATACACAGTGGAGACAGTATTTGATGGAAGCAAAGTAGGAATTGAGCCTTTCTCGGTGGAGGTTTCCCCGGCCGGAGAGGTCCTCATTTTGGACTACCAAAACAGCAACATCTATAAGACCTCCTCTCCCCTTTCTCGGAGTAAGGCCCCATTCTGTTCAACTTATTTTTTCTTATTCTTATTAAAATCAGACCACACCAGATCAGATCAGATCAGATCCAATCAGATCAGATCAGAGCAGATCTAATCAGATCATATCATATCATATCCCATCAAGAATTATCATCATCATCATCATCATCATTATTGTAGTTGTTGTTGTTGCTATTGTTATTATTATTATTATTCTTAAAAATGAAAAAGAATAAACTTTAAAATAAGTTAAACAGAATACTGAGAAAGTAATCCTTAATTATTAGATGTTGGAAAAGTTATTTTTAAAATACATTGATAATGTAAATCTAATTATACTTTTAAAATACATTTTTATTGCTACCTGTAATTTGAGTTTCTAAATTTTTGATCTTTTATAAGGATGAGATATTTTAATAAAAATATTATCTCTTCTCTATATTGATTATCTATAATTTAATTACTTTTTAATTTATTTATAAATTAAATATTTATTCTCATGTATATATGAACTAATTATTAAAATATTAAATCAATATTCTTATTTCACAAAAAAATAATCATAAAATAAAAATATTATTACATTATAATATGAATGATTATTCTAATATATGAATTAACTAACTTTATTTTATTAAAAAGTAATCATAAAATGAAAATATTGATTATATTATAATATGAATTATCATTACAACTTTCAAACGTTATTACAAAGTCAAATCAAATTATTGATTTGAACTTTAAATCAAATTATAATTAATCAGTTCAGACCAGATCAGATCAGATCCAATCAAATCGGACCAGATCAGATCAGAACTACAAAAAATCTTATCAGATCAGAACTACAAAAAATCTTATCAGATCAGAACTACAAAAAATCAGATCAGATCAGAAAAATAAGTTGAACGGAACGAAGCCTAAGAGCCTTTTAGCTCCGTCTACGTCTGATCTGATTAGTTTTGATTTACATTTTTATTAAAATCTGTTCTAGAGTGTTTTTACGCAATCTGAGCTTTTCTGATCATCTAAATTTTTCTGATCTGATCGGGTATGATTGGAATAAGAATAAATTGAAAAAAAACATGCTTTAAGTGCACTTTTTCTTTGTCTGAATTTTATTGTTTTATTTTAAAAATATTTTTAGTTTAGAAAAAAGGATGCTAAATTTACCAAATGTTTATTAAAAATTATTTGCTTTCTGAAATAAAGAATTTGCTTGGATAAAACAAAATCTAGGGTCTTTTACTCCCCTGTCCCAATTTTGATTACAATTTGGGAATTACGAGATAAAATCTCAAGAATTGTGAAATCATTTTATGTACAAAGTGGTACATCAATAAAAAATAAAAATTACATATTAAAAAACTGCGTCAAATATTCTACAAAACAAGAAGTGACAATGATATTTTATCTTATCAAATAATCAATGAAAAACACTCAAATGAACAAAAGTTATCAAGAGGAAAGATAAAATTAAATTATAATCAAAATTGGGTGAGAATATTATTGTTGAGTAGGATTGCTCTTTAAGGAAGCAAGCATTGTGAGAATCTGGGATTCAATGGGGTGAACTTTGAGTTTGGGTTTCATGTGTACTTTTGTTTGGGTGAAGACTCTTGCTTTATTTTGGATAGGGATATACTATTAGTCCATTAGTGCATAACGTACTAGGTATTAAATACATACCCAAGTATTTTTTATTTTTTATTTTTACACCTTATTTTGAATACATTACTAAAACGTTCTTCTCACTCACTATTCATACGGTCAAACTTTAATCACTTTTTTTCTTACCTATTTCCGTTATTTTGATAAGATAATATAATATTGTCACTTCTTGTTTTGTAGAACTTTTAAAATAGTTTTTAAATATATAAATTTCATTTTTTAATTTAACACATATAATCAAATGAATTGAATTGAAAATAAAATCGATCAAACCTCGTAAACAGAAACAGAAAGAACGTTTTAGGATGGATGGAGTATCATAGAATGAACGATGTATTTTATTTTGGGGGGAAGGAGTGTTTTCTAAATTATTACTCCCCTACTATTTTGGGGCATTAAGAGATTGACACAAAATTAAGAAAAGTAAAATTATGTTATTGATACTCCGTATTTTTTTTTTGTGAAAAAGTACTCCTTTAAATAAAGAATGACGGTGAAATTTGATACTCCATATGTGACAAAAATATTGAAATGAAAAAAACATCATTTTAAATGAGATTATTCATTCTATGACTAAGGCAAGCTTTCCCTCCCTTTATTCCTCTTGTTCTTATTGAATTGTCTTTTGTATCCCAAATTCCAAAAGAAAAAAAAACATACAGAAAAAGATTACTAAATCATTTAACATATCTTTGCATCTTTGACGGGAAAAGCTTGTGGGAGGGGTTTAATTATACATTCAAAGATTTTTTGCATTTTCCTACTTTTACCTTTACGGGGTACTCTATACAATTTCGATACGATTTCGGTGACACTTGCTGCGAGTGTCAACAGGTGACATCGATTTCAACTAAGATAATGCTCCATTCACAAATTTAATTGTCGCTACCCCCAGCCCCCCTCCCCCCCACCCTTGATTGCTGATTGACTACCAAAAATTTGGTGATTCCAATAAAGGGGGCTTGGGTTGGGGGGCAAAAAGGATATGAACTATAAGTTTTACAAATGGAACATCGTAGGTGTTTCAAAACGACAGTCATAGCACAGTATCAACGGAATCGTGCCGGTATTATTACAATATTTTTAGCGAAAGAAGGGCCAGCTCCGTGGGCACTGGTCTCGGTTGATACTACGATGTCATTACACGTTTGGGACATCTACGATATTCTGCTCGCAAAATTAATGGTTCCTGTCTTCTTATAACCTTATCGCACCCCCAACCCCTTCAATTTCATCCCCAATTTTTCCTAAAATGTTTGTGCAATTAATTAAATTGGTCAAACCAATAGCATGACTTATAAATGTGCATTTGCCAAATGTACATTAAACTCTGTATAATTTGGATACACTGGGTATAATACATAAACTGATTAATATATCCTTGAACATATATAGATAGTGTTAAATATATTCTATATTTAATGTAAATATATTCTTTCCTATTATTGACTCCTATTGTGTATAGGAATAGGAATCTCATGTCTATATAAACACATGTACTCCCACATATTCTTTCAATGAAAATAATCTTTCTACATGGTATCGGAGCCTAAAAACACAAAACCCTAATCCCCCTCTTCTCCTCTTCTTCCTCTCGGCCTAGTCACGCCGCCGCCCTCCTCCTTGCGCTGCCTCCTCCTGCGGCGCACTCGGACTCCCACACAACCGGCAACCTCCTCTTCCTCTTTCTCTTACCATGGCCGACGTAAGCGAGATCACCTCTCAAAATCTCTCCTCTAAACCCCCACATCTTGCTTTCACAACTGTCTCCAACGTGAAACTCCACGTTCCTGTTCAACTCAGCCTCTCTCAACCTAATTACAAGAAGTGGAGTCGTCTGTTCCTCCTCTTAGTCAGGCGATTCAATCTTCAGGGCTATATCGACGGTTCCGTTGTCCCCCTCTCCGACGACGACGACGAATGGTTCCAACTCGACGCTCTCCTCCAGGGTTGGATTCTCTCTACCATCACCGATGAGGTCTCAGATTTGGTAATCTCCTCTGTCTCTACTGCCTCTGCTCTCTGGAAAGTCGTTCACGACTTGTTCCACGACAACAAACATGCCAGGGCCATGCAGCTGGAGCATGAATTCCGCACAACCGTCAAAGGCAACTCCACCATGGCGGCTTATTGCCAACAATTGCAGAATCTGGCCGACTGGCTGGACGATGTTGATGCACCAGTCTCCCAGCACCAACTTGTTCTCCAGATGCTTCGTGGTCTCCCTGCAGATCTTCAGGCACAAACATCTTTCATGCAATTCCAGGATCCCATGCCAACTTTTCTGCAGG